TATTGTTGTCACATGCACACAATGACCACTCTGTCATAAATTCCTGCAGCTGCTTCAGAGTTGCTGTAGCTCTCGGTCGCCTCTCTGAGCAGTTTCCTGCTGGCTCTTTCATCAGTTTGGAGCAGTGTCCTGATCCAGGGAGGGTCTGTGTCATACCAAATAGCTTCCACTTCTTAATAATAGACTTTACTGTGCTTCTAGGCATTGTTAAATCCAATTTTTTTTGTATCCATCTCCTGACTTGTACCTGTCCACAACTTTATCCCAGAGATCTTTTGAGAGTGCCTTGCCACCCATAGTTGATTGTTTGCTTCAGTTGCACTACCAAGGACTGAAACGCTCCAGGAAAGCTCTTTTCATGCTAAGCTAATCAAAATGAGCACAGCTGATCACAGTTAAAAGTCAAATGGCTTTGTGTGCTATTGAGAAGATGATTAGCTACACCTGATTGAGTCTTTTTTAGGAGGGGGCGATCCTTTTTCAAACTCAGTGATTTTTTTTTTCCTGACATGTTGGTGTTATAACTTTCACTTAGATGTTATAAGATGCACTGAGTAAATACAGCTGGATAAAACAAAAACTGTGTCCATCTTCATTTCAGGCTGCAAAGCAACAAAATGTGATTTTAAAGGGGGCGGGGTTTCTTTTCTATACCCGCTGTATATCTATCTATCTATCTAGATCTATATATATATATATATATATTTATAAATATGTTTGTATTTTCGGTGTAAAAAATCCAGTAATCACGAATGATACACTCTTAAACATAAAGGTGCTTCACGATGCCATAGAATAACCTTTTCGTCTAAATGGTTCTGTAACGGAGGCCAGCGAGTAGGTGCTGTGCAGGTAAACCTCACTCTCCTGATCTCAAGAGACGCACTAGCGACTGACGCTAGAGGCTGCAGTCTTTAGCCTCCTTGTTAGTGCGTCCGCCTCCCATGCTGGAGACCCGGGTTCGAGACCCACTCGGAGCGAGAACGAGGTGTGGCGGAGAGGACCCGGGAGAGATGATCAAATGTTGTGGGTGTGGGGACATTTCTAGCAAAACTATGCATGTTTTGTATATGTTTTTATCTGTTAAATGCAGCAATGTAACTGATTTTAGAGCTGTCACAAGTCCTCTGTAAGGAGTGAGGATGTGTTTCTCCCCCACGCACTTGAGCAAATACAAACCAGATGCTTGGTTTTTACCACTGGGGCAGGTCTTGAAATCACGGGTTTTCTACATGGGGAATATTGGCTAACTATGCTCTTGCATGTTGATTTGGGTTTTGGGGGATTATCATGTGACATGTGAATGAACGGGTGCAGCTGCATTTTTATATTCCTAAAGGTGTCATCCATATCGTAAGTTCTCAGCTCCTCGTGATGATGGTGCTAAACCTTCTTATTACTCACAACTATTTAGATCTTTAAACATTAACCTTCCCATGCCCACATTCTTTATTGTGTATCTGTAAATCCATATTCGAACAAAGCATATATGTTTTGTCAGTGCATTTTCCTGGTGTACCATCTTCCTTTTTACACTAAGTCCTTGTTTCATTCTGCGCTTATCCTGTAAAAATGTCTATTTTTCCTTCCTTCTTGCATGCTTTCTATCCTTAGTGCAAAACTGAGGGGCTGACCAATTACCAGGTAAAAAGAGTTTTCTAAGCAGGCTTGTCTTTTACTCTTTTAAATGATTTAATATTTTTTTCATCATGAGGTGTGTCGTATTCAACATCATACACTTTACTAAACAGCATTTGTTGGTCTAAAGCATCGATATTTACATTGCTTCTAGAGAAATGGCTTGTTTAAAAGACCTAATGCTACTTGAGTGAGAGAGGATTTACATGAGAAGAAAAAGGCTCGTAATATAATCCCTTAAAGCATTTACGTTTACACAATACTAATGCAATGTACAGACCAATAGAACAGTGGAAGTAATAAAAAAACAATGAAAATATGATGTTGAAAACATAAAAAGCATAGCTTTCCTGAATCCCAAGCCTGTGTTCACCTTATGTTTTGTTGACTTGTGAATTCACATTTGCACAATGTAGTTTGATGGATCATACTGTATATACCAAATATAATTAATATCTTTAATTTATTAATGTATTGTTTTGTCTCTTGCTTTTTTATATCATTGTATTACATTTTGTTATTATTTAAATGCAAATCTTTAACACATGGGACCAATTTTAGATAAAGCATGTTACATTATTGCAATACATTTGGTTTTGTTGAATTGTGCTTAAAGCTGAAGTGTGTATTATCTTTTTCATCATAAAAACTCCTATACAATTTTAATATGAAGAGACTTTAAGCCATTTGTTTGTCGATTTCCCCAAAAGTATAAATACCATGTTACTGTGGGTCTATCAAGATTTTGCTTTGACACAGCAGAATTGACTCAAGCAATGGTGTAATTCTAAGGGGTGGTCTACGTGGTGTTCTGACCAATGACAGACAATAATTAGTGACACATGTAGAACATAAAATACATACTTCACCTTTATTTTTCCTTTATGTTTTGCTGTAAATGTGCTATGTCAAAAAAAAAGCATTATTTCATTCATGTGCAAAAGTATTACTGTATTTTGTTGGTCTTGATGGCATTCATGATACACTTTATGTAGTCTCATTGTTTATTTTTTAATGTCTAACAGCATTTTAATTGTCATTATATCCCTATTTATACCTATTTTTTTTCTGCTTGCCATGTGCTTCCAGAAAATTATGAAGTGCAAAGTCTAACTCCATCCCTGAACACCTTATGTCTGGAATCCATTACTGAGGAATTTCAGGAGAGCAGTCCTTTGACCTCCACACAAAATCTCATGGATACCTCACCACATTGTCCCTCCACTACATTGTCTTCACCATCCACAGCAATAACAGCATCTTCCAATGGGGAAAATCCCAGCCCTTTGAAAAATAATGAGGACATTGTGAAATCATTTGCACTAACTCAGAGTATCGGTTCATATAGCACCAGTGGCAAGGATTCCGAGATCAGCCACATCAACTCTCCACTTTCCACAAATTACCTTGACATTGGATGTGTTACGCCCCCCTTGCCAGACCAAGAAGATGGCGAGGTTGTGCAAAAAGCAGTCATTCACCCCAACATTGCTGAAATAAAAACAGCACAGACTCCAGAGATAGATGTTGTAAAGGAAAGAACCGCCATTCAGAGCTCTCAAAGGATTCAGCCGTTGAAGGGGGTGTTTGACAGAGACATTGGACGAAGCATGCAAACTGGACTGAGGATCCCTGTCAGAAGGACCAAAAGTGAAGGAAAAATGAAGGCAGTGAAAAAAGCAGACAGCCAATCAGTGGTCCCCGAAGTCTCTATTGACACCACTTTAAACGACAGGCTTTGGAGCAAACTCGACCCCAGCAGCTATCGGGATAGTGTGTCATCGTCTTCCAGCATTTCGTCCAATGACACTGTGATTGATTTGTCCTTGCCCAACCTTTCCAGGAAGAGCCTTACCTGTCTTAGTGCAGCCCGGGACTACTCCGACAACCAAGTATCGCTGGCCAACAGGACCAGCCAGCCTCGGTCGGCGATTGCAGCATGCAACGTCTCGCGCGTCAGCAAGAGCAAGTCCAACCCCAACCTGCGGGATGGTGAGATGTGCGAGCCAGAGGACGAGTTCCAGCCCAGGCCTCTGGTGGCAGAGAAAGACCCCATCCGGCCCATGCAGAGGCGCCACACATGGAGCAGGTTGTACATGGAGGGTTTAAAGCAGTCATCCATGCTCGCTGCTTCTGCTGGCTCCAGAAGGTCAACCACCCCCTCGGCAAAAGACATGGACAGCTGCTCGAAATCCAAGAGCCTTGGAGATCTCACTTCAGACGACATCACCTGTAATTTTGAGAGCAAGTATCGAAGCATTAGCCGCAGTTTCATTGTGAGGCCAAGCCGCCAACAAGGGAAAACTCTTAGAAAGCCCCAGAATGACCTAACGGAGCAGCTCAAGAGGCTCACCGATGTGGAACCCCTCACTAGCAAAGACTTTGCTCAGTGCAGGCATGATTCTGAAGCGGGACAGGAAGAGGAGGAGACACCCCCTTTGCGGAGGAGTTCCTCACGGAGTCAGAGCCGGGTGAGATACATCGCTAACCGAGCCAGGCAGGCCCAAGAGAGGCAGCAGCTACAAAGCCTGACTAGTATGTCTGGGAGCCCCATTGAAGAGCGTGGCAATCCTGAAGGAGCTTGTAGTGTACCCCACAGTCCCTGTGCTAGCTTGGATCTTTTGAGCCAACTTCCACCAGGACCGCCCCAACAAAATCCCCTGAGCCCGGACAACGAGGTCTTCTTCATGCTCAGGCTGTAAAGGGGCAAGAATGTGTTGAATTCTTTTTGTGGGGAGTGAACGAACACAAGGTGGCCAACCTCCACCTGTCATTCATTAAGATATTCCAATGGACATGTTGAGCAGGTTAAACATGTATTATCTGCACCTACTGTACTACACCTTCCATTTTGGATTGACAAAAGAAGTTGAAAAGCACACTTTTTTATGTCCATTGCTGACCTACTCCCCACCCTGAATAATGAGCCGTTAAAGGGATGAGATGCTAAGCTTTAAACTTTAAATTGGATGCAACAGTTTGCTAGTTTGTACAAATTATTTGTAAATGTGCATGCATGTGTTTAAAAAAAAGCCAAAGGTGCAAAACCAGAGGATTTTTAAATGGTGTATAAAAATATACAACGTTGCATATAGAAATGATTACAAACATTCTAAAATTAGATTATGCCTGTGGCATTTGTGGTACTGTAATATTTTTTGTTTTTTTTAAGATGCAGCCTAGTGCAGCAATAGATAAAAATGTAAGCACTACTGATTCACCACAATGATTCCCTGCATTCAAAAGTTTATTAGTCTGCAGCCGAAATACAAATGCATTTGTTTGTGTTGTTAATGGTATAATAACAAATTTTGTAACCAAGCATGGGATGTATTTGTCACAATAATTTATTTTCCCTTGAAACTATTTTTAAAATAGTTTTAGATATAGTAATATTACTGACTGCTATATTCTGTTGTTTTAGTTTTTAATGTAGTAAAATTATAACTTACAGTGTGTTCTTTAGTTCAGTTAGTTACTAATGAAGTGTAGCTCTAAAAATACGGTAATTCATATAAAAATTGCATATCTTCACTTTATGTACAGTAGTTTACCTTTTGAAATTTTATTGTATGTCACTTGATTGTATTATTTCTCCTATGGTCTACTGTATTTTTATGCTTCAAAGATTTTATGATTTAAAAATGTACAGTCTATTAGAGTCTAGGTATGCAGTTATGTAGATGCTATTCAATGTCATTGTCCTAAGTACACTAATACCTTTTATTACTTTTTTAAAGAATGCTACTCAGTGACAGGGGAATACATTTTTACCAACTACATCCTTCTTTTTACTGTATTCTTGTATCTGAAGTTAACAAACACAACTGTTTCACTTTCCAAGCTTTGAAGATATATCACTTTTCTTAATATTCCTCTATTTGTTAGCTTATTAGTCTATTATTAGTCTGATAACAGCTTTAACTTTGAGACTGTATGGTGAAAAGTTAACAGTTTATATAGTTACAATTCTATGGATGATTGGATTACGAAAATTGTAAATCTTTCATTTACTCATGGAATGTTCCCAAATGTGTGGAAATTAGCTGCTGTAATGATGTGATCGCCTATCCACCTGCAACTACAGACCTCCCCAACAAAATCCCCTGAGCCCGGACAACGAGGTCTTCTTCATGCTCAGGCTGTAAAGGGGCAAGAATGTGTTGAATTCTTTTTGTGGGGAGTGAACGAACACAAGGTGGCCAACCTCCACCTGTCATTCATTAAGATATTCCAATGGACATGTTGAGCAGGTTAAACATGTATTATCTGCACCTACTGTACTACACCTTCCATTTTGGATTGACAAAAGAAGTTGAAAAGCACACTTTTTTATGTCCATTGCTGACCTACTCCCCACCCCTGAATAATGAGCCGTTAAAGGGATGAGATGCTAAGCTTTAAACTTTAAATTGGATGCAACAGTTTGCTAGTTTGTACAAATTATTTGTAAATGTGCATGCATGTGTTTAAAAAAAAGCCAAAGGTGCAAAACCAGAGGATTTTTAAATGGTGTATAAAAATATACAACGTTGCATATAGAAATGATTACAAACATTCTAAAATTAGATTATGCCTGTGGCATTTGTGGTACTGTAATATTTTTTGTTTTTTTTAAGATGCAGCCTAGTGCAGCAATAGATAAAAATGTAAGCACTACTGATTCACCACAATGATTCCCTGCATTCAAAAGTTTATTAGTCTGCAGCCGAAATACAAATGCATTTGTTTGTGTTGTTAATGGTATAATAACAAATTTTGTAACCAAGCATGGGATGTATTTGTCACAATAATTTATTTTCCCTTGAAACTATTTTTAAAATAGTTTTAGATATAGTAATATTACTGACTGCTATATTCTGTTGTTTTAGTTTTTAATGTAGTAAAATTATAACTTACAGTGTGTTCTTTAGTTCAGTTAGTTACTAATGAAGTGTAGCTCTAAAAATACGGTAATTCATATAAAAATTGCATATCTTCACTTTATGTACAGTAGTTTACCTTTTGAAATTTTATTGTATGTCACTTGATTGTATTATTTCTCCTATGGTCTACTGTATTTTTATGCTTCAAAGATTTTATGATTTAAAAATGTACAGTCTATTAGAGTCTAGGTATGCAGTTATGTAGATGCTATTCAATGTCATTGTCCTAAGTACACTAATACCTTTTATTACTTTTTTAAAGAATGCTACTCAGTGACAGGGGAATACATTTTTACCAACTACATCCTTCTTTTTACTGTATTCTTGTATCTGAAGTTAACAAACACAACTGTTTCACTTTCCAAGCTTTGAAGATATATCACTTTTCTTAATATTCCTCTATTTGTTAGCTTATTAGTCTATTATTAGTCTGAAAACAGCTTTAACTTTGAGACTGTATGGTGAAAAGTTAACAGTTTATATAGTTACAATTCTATGGATGATTGGATTACGAAAATTGTAAATCTTTCATTTACTCATGGAATGTTCCCAAATGTGTGGAAATTAGCTGCTGTAATGATGTGATCGCCTATCCACCTGCAACTACAGACCTATTTGCATTTTGCCGATGGTTTCCAAGGTGGCCGAAAAACTTGTTGCAGAACAAATGATAAATCATTTGAATAGCAGTGCTAATCCTTTACATCCACATCAGTTTGGTTTCCGTACTAATCGCTCAGCCAACTGCTATTTTATAGAAAAGTTCTTGTTAGATCGTGGCGGGGTTGCCTGTGTCGTCTATCTAGATTTTAAAAAAGCTTTTGACACCATTAATCATGGAATTCTCTTATCTAAATGAAATACATTTAACTTTTCTGCTAGTACCGGATGAAGTGCTTCTTATTCTTTTTTTCTTTTTTTTTTACTTTTTATTGCATTTTAACAATACACATGTACAAATAAATTTCCATGTAACAGAGAAAACACACACACAAAAAAAACAACAACAACAACAAAAAAGCTTCTCAGTATTTTACATTAGTATATAATATCACCTCTTTTTTTTTTTTTTTGTCTTTTATCAACAGGCTCGTGATGACACATTGGTGTCCTAAGACACGAAACGATCGGTTTGTGCGAGAAACCGAACAGTATTTATATCATTTTTTACCTCTAATACACCACTATGTCCAACTGTCTTTGGGCGCGCGCACGGCATCCGGTGCGTGAGTTGTGTACGCGCTCTGGCGTAGTTTACGCAAGCGCCGGAAGTGATCTCTCGCGCGTATACGTCACTCATTGTTTACACAGTGCACAGTCATTGTAGGTACGACGGCTAATCAAAATGGTACTTACTTGCGCTTATCCGGATTGTTCAAACCGACTTAAAACTAAAAGATTACGTTCTCTCGCGCGAACTCATTCGGGAGTGGTGACTTTCCACGTATTCCCAACTTCTGAGCCTGCTCGCCTGATGTTATGGTTGATTGCTCTTCGGCTGGATATCAACACACCCATTAACATAAACTACACCAGAGCGCGTTCACACCTCACGCACCGGATGCCGTGTGCGCGCCCAAAGACAGTTGGACATAGTGGTGTATTAGAGGTAAAAAATTATATAAATACTGTTCGGTTTCTGCCACAAACCGATCGACATATGATGATTTTTAATGGCAGCCGATTCCAAATCCACCCAAGACGGGCAGTTCTGAGATAAAAAATAAAACATAATTGTTCTAAGTTACACAGCCCAATAATACCAATGAAAATTAGGACACTGTTGACCTCCTCTATCATATGGCAAATATAAAAGTGTCAGACGGAGTCTGGAACATCTGTTATTCCAAATGTATTTAGTGAACATTTTTTTAAGTCGTTGAAATAGATGTTTAGGGGGAGGCAGAGGAATGTTCTTGAATAAATGTAAAAAGTTTGGCAAAATATTAATTTTCAAAATATTTATTCGACCAATTAAAGATATGGGTAAGGACATCCATCTTTCTATAGAGCTACTAACACTTTCAAGAAGTGGATCATAATTTACTTGCACAACATCTTCTAGTTTTGGTACAATTTTTATACCCAAGTATGTAAAACGGTCAACTATATTGAAGGTTGCAACACAGTTACTAGGTTGCTGTCTGTCAATCTCATTTAGATATAGAATATAACTTTTAGAATTGTTAATTTTGTATCCAGAAATTTTTCCAAATGTACTGATAAGATCTAATAAAGCAGGTATTGATGTATCAAGATGCTTTAGGAAAAGAATGACATCATCAGCGAATAACGCAATTTTATGTTCTATCTGTCCAATCTTAATGCCTGTTAATTCCACGTTTTTTTACTGCTATTGCAAAAGGCTTGATGGAGATGGCAAAAAGAAGAGGAGAAAGAGGAGAACCTTGTCTACACCCTCTTGATACGCTAAATGGTTTTGAAACAATATTATTTGTCAACACTTCTGCTGTAGACCTACTATAAAGTAATCTAACCCATCTACAGTACCTTTCACCAAAACCAAATCTGACCAATAAATCAAACAAATAAGACCCGATCGAAGGCCTTTTCGGCGTCCAATGATAGTAGAGCAGTATCTCGTTCACCCCTCTGTTCATAAAGGATATTTAGGACTCTTCGAACATTGTGAAATCCTTGCATACGTTGTATAAAACCATTTTGATCCTCACTAGGGATGCACCGATACCGATACTGGTATCGGTATCGGGCCCAATACTGAGCTCCTGTACTCGTACTCAGGGGCGTAGATTACGCGGGGGACGCGGGGGACGCGGGGGACGTGTCTCCCCCACTTTTAATATCACGTAAATTCGTCCCCACGCACTTTTTCAGGCAAGTGTGTTTGCATAGAGGTTTTGAAGAGCCGGTGTGAATAAATATAGATTTAAATTCAAAGAGACAGGATAGTCTGTGCATGATCTGATGTTTTGTTCGAACCCAGAGAAACTAGTCTGCCTTATGTGATTAAAAAAAAAAGTGTTTGTAGTATATAAACAAATCATTATTATTG